ATGGCCTTTCTGAGGAGCACAGGGACCTCATGAGCCGAGGGCAGCCCCTGCACACAGACAGCAAGAGGGAAGCGCACCGTTGTGTGGCCCACTGCTGCTACACACACCACTGCTGTGTGGGTGGTCTGCCACAGCCTGCCGCCATAGAAGCCATCCCTGCTGTGCACTCAGCCTGCCTACCACTCAACTGCGTTGACACGAGGAGGATCACCAGCAGAGCCTGGGGAAAGAGGCGAGTGAGCACAGACCCATGACCCAGTGGCCCCAAAACAGGGGGAATTAAGCTGTAGTAGTGCGTCTGGGGGTGGGAGGTATATGTACAGCCCACGCAACTGCCTTGATCTTGTAAGAGACACACACAGAATCCCTGGAGAGTCCAGAAATCCAGGATAGCCAAATAAAGTAAGGAAGAAAATTCCCAACCACCACCAATCCATCCACCAACCAGGGGAAGCAAGGACCCAGGAGGCACCTCTGCCTGCAGGAAAGAGGAAAGAGAAACCCCAAGTAGGGTCACCCATTCAAACTGAGCAGCTCCAGTATATCCCAGTGCACCCATCAGGGTAATGGGGCACTAGCCAGGGTGCCAACAAGCCTGTCCAGGGTCACCCACCCCAGCCAAAGAGTGATAGAGCACCAGGTGCATCTCCCAAGAACTTGAAAGCTCGCCCATGTCCTCGACAACCCAACACAGTGTCACTAACCTCAGCAAGGAATCACTAAGTGCCCCAGTGCCCAGGCCACAGAGGCACTCACATGCAATTCCAACAACAAATACAGATGAAATACCCACACAGAGACTACCCTATTGCATCTATCCAGAACCAATATTAATATACCCTACTCAACAGTCAATATAAAACACATCTACAGGAGGAAGTCTCTCTCCTCAAAGCCCACTCCAGATGACCAGACATCAACATAGAGATAATAGAAATATAAAAAAACAAGAAAATGTTACACCACCAAAAGAATACAATAATTCTCAAGTATCAGACCCCATAGAGCAGGAAACCCTTGAAATGACTGAAAAGGAATTCTGACCAACAGTCCTAAGGAAACTCAATGAGATACAAGTAGAGTCAGATGACAAAACAAAATGAGAAAAACTAGACAGGATATGAAGGAGGAAATTTACAGAGATTTATAACTTTAAAAAAATGTAGCAAAACTCCTGGAACTGAAGGATTCATTCAATGAAATAAAAAACACAACCAAGAACTTAAGCAGCAGGCTAGCGCAAGCAGAGAATTTCTGATCTTGAAGACAATCTTTTCTAAATAACCCAGGTGGATAAAAGGAAAAAGAAAAAAATTTTAAAAATGAAGAAAATCTAAGAGAGCTAGCAGAAAACCTTAGGTACACAAACATCCAAATCATGGATATTCTGGAAGAGAAGGGGAAAGGAAAAGGCATTGAAAACATACTCAATGAAATAACAGCAGAAAACTTCCCAGGCATAGGGAATCCAATCCCAAAATTAATAGATGGAAAGAAATAATTAAGATCAGAACAAACTAAATGAAATAGAGACACCAAAAATGATACAAAAGATCAATGAAACAAAAAGTTGGGTTTTTTTGAGAAGATAAACAAAATAGACAAACCATTAGCTAGGCTAGCTAAAAAAATAAAAGACTCAAACAACAAAAATCAGAAATGAAATGCAGAATTTAAACTGCACTTTAGACCAATTGGACTCGGCAGATACCTATAGAATATTTCATCCAATAACTACAGAATATACATTCTTCTCATCAGCACATGGAATATTTTCCAGGATAGACCACATATTAGATCACAAATCAAGTCCCATCTCAAAAATTTTTTTAAATCCTGTGTTTCTCCAATGACTTGGGTGTTTTAAATATATTTTGTTCCTTTCTTCCAATTTTATTGTGCTTGGTTTTTGTTAGTTTTTTGAGGTGGTAAGATATAGTTTCTCTTTCTCATATGCATTTTTGTTCTACCAGTGGATTTTGTTCTTTCTTGTGTATTCATGGTAGTGATTATAGTTTTTTGGATTCCGGATGCAGGATTCCCTTGAGGAATTCTTGTAGGGCTGGTCATGTGGTGTTGAACTACCACAGTTTTTGTTTGTGAAAGAGAATATTTCTCCTTCATTTTTGAAGGACATCCTTGCTGGATATAGTATTCTTGGCTGGCAATTTTTTCTTTTAGTATTTTTATTTTTTTTTTATTTATTTATTTTATTTATTTATTTATTTTTTTTTTTTTTGTCCTTTGTCTTTTTTCCGTGTCCGGCAACGGATCGCAACCCTCAGTG